TTAACTGGATGTCGTTTTCGCTGTTGCTGATCCCACAGCGGTTCAGAACGAGAGACAGCCCAGGAACACGGCCACCATAAGACCAGAAGCCTTCGCCGAAATGGACCAGGAGCGGCTCTTGCGGGAGGCTGCTGTGGCCGTGGGAGTCTTCACGTAAGATCTGTGTTCTTGCTTTCTCCTTCTCCTTCTCCTTGCTCCTCTTCTTCTTGGCCTTTTTTCTCTTTCTGTTTCTCCTTTTTATTCTTTTTTTTCTGTTTCTCCTTCTTTTTCTTTTCTTTTGTTCCTTACTTCCTTATTTTTTGTGCTTTTTTTTCTGCATCTGCGTTTCCTCTCCTCTCTCTTTATGGCTCACTCTTAACAAGTCTGTCCGATTACTTCTTCCCCCAGTTTTCTCTCTCTCTCTCTCTCTCTCTCTCTCTCTCTCTCTCTCTCTCTCTCTCTCTCTCTCTCTCTCTCTCTCTCTCTATCTCTCTCTCTCTCTCACTCCTATCCCCCCTCCGTTCTCCTGCGTCTTTCTTTCTCTCATTATTCTCCTCTTTCTTTCTCCTTTTCTCCTTTCCTCTTTCTGTCCTATCCTTTCGTCTTTCCACCTTCCCTCTCCCCTATTTTTTCTCTCCTCTTTCTCTCTCTTTGTTTCTCTCTCTTATTTTATGCCAATTCATCGAATTCCATCACGCTGTTCTTATATAGGAGGAAGTCAATATTAGTTATTTCTTTAAAGTGAGATAGAGTGAGATAGATAGATAGATAGATAGATAGATAGATAGAGAGAGAGAGAGAGAGAGAGAGAGAGAGAGAGAGAGAGAGAGAGAGAGAGAGAGAGAGAAAGAGAGAGAGAGAGAGACAGACAAAGACAGAGAGAGAAGAGGTGGAAGGGTAATAGAATAAGGCAGGAACATGAAGAGACGATGAATATAAAAAGGCAGCTTTAGGAGGCATAATACACGAAGTCAGATAGCAGGGATGTAGCATTAGGAGGAGACGGCTGAGTGTGACCCAGCGTCCCCGCCTCGTGCACGCTCATAACAAGAACACTGTTTCCCCTCAGTAGGCCTCCGCTGCCGCTCCCGGGCCTCGTCTCCGCCGCCATGGGGGGCTCCAGGGGGTTCCTCTCTCCTCCCTCCATCACCACCTCCCCCTTCACTACCACGCACGCCCATCACGCCCTCGCCTCCATCACGTCAGCGCCAGTGGCAGCAGCGGCGGCGGCGGCGGCCGGCGTCACGCATCCTCCCCCTCCTCCGCCTCCTTCGTCCTCCACCTCCTCCTCTTCCTCCGGCAACTCCTCCTCGTCGTCCTCCAGCAACAACAACAACAACAACCCGGCGACCATCAACCACATGTCGGGGGCGACCAACGGCGCCGGCGTCCTCGTGACCGGCCTGCGACCGCTCTCGCCCACCAAGGAGGAGCACGACCATGGTGGGTTGGCACTGGGGTTGGCACCTTGCGGGGGCAGGGCGGGCTGGCGCCGGGGGGAGGGCGGGGTTAGAACGTGGGTTAGCACCTGGGGGGGGGGGCACGATAACGATAACGATAAGCGAGTGATTGTGGCAATTATGATGTCGTTAGTAATACTGGTACAGATGGTAATAATGATAATAAATAATAAAGGTAATGATGAAAGTAAAAATAATGATAATAAGGATAATGATGATAATGATAATGATAATAATGATAATGAAAATAATAAAAATAAAGGTAATGACAGTGCTACTGATGATGATAATGACAGTAATAATAATCCTAATTCTATATCTTTGATAATTCCCCTGACTTAGAAGTATATAGTCCATCTACATGGCCAGGTTAACCGGATGAACTGAAATGAATTATAATGACAACGTCGTTAGTGGGCGTGGCTTAATAAAATGTCAGCCAATCAGCTCACAGAACGACAAGGGAATACGATTATTAAAAAATAGTAATAATAATAATAAAACACACACACACACACACACACACACTATATCACACACTATATATATATATATATATATATATATATATATATATATATATATATATTATATATATATATATTTCACGCAATTAATATATATCATAATTTGCGAGGTATATTTGAAAGTCATCTTCTGTTTTCCTTCATGTATATTTTTTTCTCGGTTGCATGATTTTTTTTAAAATCGAAATACTAAGAATATGGAAGCTTTATACGAAAAAAAAAACAGACACACTAAGAAAGAAAACTGGACGATCGTAATTATCATTTATATCACAATAATTATCATCGTTGTTATTGTGATTATTATTCATTATTCATCGTTGTCGTTGCTTTGTTTTGTTATTTTTAGCCATTGCTGATAGTGATAAATATTTTATTGCTGTAATGATAATCAGCGTCATTAGTATCTTATCATTACCTTTATTATCTTCACCATCAACATCATTATTATTATCATTACCATTACTACTACTACCATTATTATTATTATTATTATTATTATTATTATTATTATTATTATTATTGTTATTATCATTATTATTATTATCATTATTATTATTATTATTATTATTATTATTATTATTATTATTAAAATATTATTATTATTGTTGTTATTATCATTATTATTATTGTTAGTTTTATTATCACCATTATTATCATAATTGTTAACATTATCATTGTCATCATAATTGTTAACATTATCATTGTCATCATAATAATTGTTTTTATTATCATTGTTATTACTGATAACACTTATTATGAGTATTACTGTTGCTGTTGTCATTATCATTTTGATATTGTGCTTACTCCTATTATCTTTACTGCTATTACTAATTTCTCCTGTTTTCGTGACAAAACAAATATCGTCGGTCGACATCAACATCCTTATCATGGGCAAAACCTTATTTTGGGCATCATCCTCATCCTCCACTTAATAATTTCCTCCACCGCCACAGCAGAGAAAGAACATTTAACGATGATTAACAACCCCCCCTCCTCCCCCAGGTGTCCGCAGCGTCGACTCGCCCGTGGACGTGACGGGGGGCGGGGCGGGGAGCGAGGACCCCCCGGGCACTGTGGCCCCCCACCTGCCGCCGCCCGTCTCCTCCTGCTCCTCCTCCTCCTCCTCCTCCGGCGCCTCCTACGTAGAGCCCGCGCCCCTGTGGGATCCCCTGCAGGAGTCCGTGCAGGAGACCGCCGCCAGACTGCTCTTCATGGCGGTCAAGTGGGCGAAGAACCTGCCGTCGTTCAGCAGTTTGCCCTTCAGAGACCAGGTGAGAAGGGGGGAGGGGAGAAGAGGTGAAATAAAGAGTGGGGGAAAGGAAGACGGAGAGAGGAAAGAAAAGGAGATGTGGTGGGGGGAGAGGGGAAGGAAGAGGTGGGGGATAGGAAAGGGGAAGGGAGAGGGGACTTGGGAGAAGAGAGGGGGAGGGTACGGGAACGGGAGAAATAGAGGAGAGAGAGAGGAGAGAGAGGGAGAGAGGATGAAAGACGCGTAAGAGGGGACTTCAGAGAGAGAGAGAGAGAGAGAGAGAGAGAGAGAGAGAGAGAGAGAGAGAGAGAGGGAGGGAGGGAGGGAGGGAGGGAGAGGGGGCAGAGGGAGAGAGGAATGAAGAGAGAATGATAAGAATAAGGAAGGATTGATGGGAAGAGAGATCGTATAAGGGGAAGGTGGGGAAGGAATCAGAAGAGGATAGGGATGAGAATAGGACTAAAGAC